AATATGCAAAACAACCACTGTGAAGAATAGAGAAGTTCCAGCGCTTTCGTGAGTAGTCAGGAGGCGAAAGCGCTTGGAACTTCTCTATTCTTTCACAGTGGTTGTTTGATATAATATATATATATATATATATATATATATATATATATATATATATATATATATAATATATATATGTGTGTTTGTTGTGTGTGTGTGGTGTGTGTGTGTGTGTGTGGTGTGTGTGTGTGTGTGTGTGTGTGTGTGTGGTGTGTGTGTGTAATTCATAGACTTGGTTCGGAGCATTCAAACGGAAGGGAAAGTAACTTACTCCCTGACGATCACTGGGAGCGCTGGCGAGGTCTGGTGCTTGTGTTTCTTCATCTGTAGAGAGGTGTGCTGCTGCTGTCTCGTCATCTGTGCTGTTTGTCTCTCTTCTGACACGCGTTCCCTCAGTCATCACTGTCACTGCTTCTGTCACTTCCTCAGTTGTTTCTTCTTCCGTTGCTGCTTCAGTTGCCGCATCTTCCAGTACTCCTTCAGTAAATGCTTCAGTTACATCTGTCTCAATTACCGATTCAGTTGCATCTTCAGCTATTTCTTCACTCACACTCTGGGCACTTAAGTCCAGTACTCTACCTCTTCTTACAAAGGTCGCATTAATTACATTTGTTGCAGGCTTTTCCACTATGTCAGTAGCATTGGATAAAATGTCGGTGGGTTTGCTACGAGCATCGAGAAGTTCCCTAATATCGCCAGGGGCGCTACGACCGATAACATCCTCGTCGGCACAGAAAGGAATGGGGACGCATTGACAGTCTTCGCGATAAGTGGGAGCTAGAGGACGGAAAAGTGTCTGCTGAACTGACGCCATTGGCTTGAAACCGGTTTCAATCCTGCCTGGAAGGAATTCTTGCTTGACAACGACTGCAGGGACAACGGATGCTGATGAATCACTAGCACTGACACTCTCCAGTTGGAAATGGTGCTGCTGTTTCTGTTGAGTGAAGCCGTGTTGGAAACGGTGTTGATCTCTCTGTTGGGTGATGCCTTGTTGGAAGTCGTGTTGCTCTTTCTGTTGGGTGATGCCTTGTGTGATGCCTTGTTGGAAGTTGTGTTGTTCTCTCTGATGGGTGATGCCTTGATTCTTAGCGAGATTATGATTATTTTTTATCCCAAAGTTGGCCTCTTTCTTAATGTCCTGTCGCTGAAAGACTTGCTGACTTCCTAGCCCTTGATAAACATCGTGATGAGCTCCCTGATCCTGATATACATGTGTGTGGGAATGAGTATGATGCTCAATTACGGTAGGCTGAATGGCTTTGGCATAGACTGGCTTTGGCTCAGCGTACTCGGGTTTCGGCTCGACGTAGGATGGTAGAGCCGCAGCGTAGTTAGGCTTGGGGGGGGCATAATCTGCCTTGTGAGCCACGTGTACTGGCTTTGGGGCAATGTACTCAGGTTTTGGTGCCACATACTGGGGGGTTGAATACGAAGGACGAGGAGTGGCATATACGGGGCTGGGAGGTGGGTGATAGGAGGTCAAGAACGGGGCATAATTAGGGTTGGGAGCAGTGTAAGAGGGATTGAGAGCATCGTGACCCAGCTTAGGGGGAATCTTCTTCTTGGATCCCGGCATAAAAGGCTCCAACACTGACAGAAGTCCCGAGAAGGAAGAAGAATGTGTTGGGTCCTTTCCTGTTCCTGAGGAACTATATTTTCTATTGGGATAGACGGGAGGAGGAGGAGGAGCACCATAGCCATTCTGAGGAACGACTGGCTTGTAAATAGGGGATCCGTAATCAGGCTTGGGAAGTGGATAGCTGTAGAGTGGGGCTCCGTAATTTCCCTTCACTGCACCTGACTTCTTGTTACACTGTAATAAATTAAGATAGATTAGATTTACGTAAATTTCTAAAAGTGTTAGAAAATTGATTGGTTTCCTGTTTTTTTTATACGAAACTATAAAGGGTGAAATAGTTTATACGCCATTTTGTCTTTTAAGACAAAACTGAAATAATTTTTAAATATTTATGAGTTCAGCACTGGTGAACACTAGTTTAACACTGGTGAACACTAGTTTAACACTGGTGAACACTAGTTTAACACTGGTGAACACTAGTTTAACACTGGTGAACACTAGTTTAACACTGGTGAACACTAACACTGGTGAACACTAACACTGGTGAACACTAGTTTAACACTGGTGAACACTAGTTTAACACTGGTGAACACTAACACTGGTGAACACTAACATGGTGAACACTAGTTTAACACTGGTGAACACTAGTTTAACACTGGTGAACACTAGTTTAACACTGGTGAACACTAGTTTAACACTGGTGAACACTAACACTGGTGAACACTAGTTTAACACTGGTGAACACTAGTTTAACACTGGTGAACACTAGTTTAACACTGGTGAACACTAGTTTAACACTGGTGAACACTAGTTTAACACTAGTGAACACTAGTTTAACACTGGTGAACACTAGTTTAACACTGGTGAACACTAGTTTAACACTAGTGAACACTAGTTTAACACTGGTGAACACTAGTTTAACACTGGTGAACACTAGCTCTGTGCACAGTAAACACAGTTCAATATTAGTAAACATTACCTCAGAGCACACAATACTAGTAAATATTCAGTATACCACTAGTGAACACTAGTTCAAGACACACTATACTCGTATATACCCTGTATAACACTGAACACTAGTCCAGGATATACTATACATATCCATTACGACAATTGTGAACATTAATTCGGAGTATTACGCTCCTATATATACTTAGTTTAACTAGTGTACATAGCTAAAATATTGCAATATACACTTACATTGATACCGATGCCGTACGAGCAGAGCTTCTCTCCGATACCCAAGAGTCGTCCCTCGCGGCTACCTTCCTCTGCCACCACTACACCGTCCACGCCACCCTCCACGCCACCCTCCACGCCGGCAGTACCCACAACGTAGGCAGTATGGGGCTCCAAAGGTAGGGGAGCATCTCCCAGTGTTTTCCTGATGAAGTAATCATCCGCCTCACCATCTGGGGTCTCCTGTTCAGGGCTGACGGAGACACTGAAGGTAGCTACTCCTGGGGTCGGAGCCTCGTCAATGAGATCCTTGCCCTGGCGAGGGGATTCAACACCCCAGGACCAGTCATCAGCAGCATAGACTGAGGCCGCCTCCAGCAGCAGCACCAGCACCAGTACGCTCACCACACCTGCAGATAAATGAAACTGGTTGTTAAAGGTTGCCTTTCGTACTTATGACTATGTATTATGAGCGAATTATATGCATTCGAACGATTATTTCATATAATTCGTGACATTTTTCACTCTACAGCACAGTTTAAGTACACAGTGAAGAGATACTCACTTTTAACCTTCATGTTTGGCACTTATTATTACTAACTGATATTAATACTTAATAAATAAATAAATAAAAATTTAGGCAGGCACGCTGGAGCGTACACCTCTCCAACCTGGTGAGTGTGGACTGACTTGCCAGCCACCCAGCCACGGTATATATACATACCATCAGCTGCTGCCATCTTCCGGCAGCAGAGTGACCTTCACCTGCCACATTCCAGGTACTCCAGCCGTGGCACTCCTGCTATACACTCACACTGATGACAACATAACCACACATTCCTCTGTATAATCGGCAATATCATGGAACTTAAAGGCAAGGAGAGACAACTAATAACTCTCAGTAATACTGATGGTACTGAGTGCAAGCTATGGACTATTACATACAACTATACCCTTCCTTCCCTCTCAAGGAATTACACAAAAAATATTAACCTAACAAAGAAAACAAAAGAGTCTAGGGGCGTGAAGGAGGAACGCGAGGATCCCTTGGTGAATGTTGAGACCAGAAAGGGAAAGGTGTGCTGGGAACCACGCTAGTGTGTGTGTGTGTGTGTGTGTGTGTACTCACCTATTTGTACTCACCTATTTGTGGTTGCAGGGGTCGAGTCCTAGCTCCTGGCCCCGCCTCTTCACCGGTTGCTACTAGGCCCTCTCTCTCCCCGCTCCATGAGCTTTATCAAACCTCGTCTTAAAACTGTGTATGGTTCCTGCCTCCACTACGTCATTTTCTAGGCTATTCCACGCCTTACAACTCTATGACTGAAGAAATACTTCCTACATCTCTCTGACTCATTTGTGTCTTCAACTTCCCAAATTTTGGCCTCTTGTTTCTGTGTCCCCCCCCTGGAACATCCTGTCTTTGTCCACCTTTTCTATTCCACGCAGTATTTATAGGTCGTTATCATGTCTCCCCTGACCCTCCTGTCCTCCCCGTGTCGTCAGGCCCATTTCCCTTAATCTTTCTTCATAGGACATTCCCCTTAGCTCGGAACTAACCTTGTCGCAAACCTTTGTACTTGCTCTAGTTTCTTGACGTTTCTTTATCAAGTGCGGGTTCCAAACAGGTGCTGCATACTCCAGTATGGGCTGACATACACGGTGTACAGTGTCTTGAATGATTCCTTTCTAAGGTACGGAATGCTGTTCTCAGGTTTGCCAGGCGCCCATATGCTGCAGCAGTTATCTGATTGATGTGTGCTTCCGGAGACATGCTCGGTGTTATACTCACCCAAAATCTTTCTCCTTTAGTGAGGTTTGCAGTCTTTGGCCACCTAGCCTATACTCTGTCTGTGGTCTTCTGTGCCCTTCCCCCATCTTCATGACTTTGCATTTGGGAGGATTAAATTCGAGAAAACCATTTGCCTGACCAGGTGTCCCCGTTGTCCAGGTCTCTTTGAAGTCCTGCCTGGTCCTCATCAGATTTAATTCTCCTCATTAACTTCACATCATCTGCAAACAGGGACACTTCTGGGGTCTAACCCTTCCGTCATGTCGTTCACATATACCAAAAATAGCACTGGTCATAGGGCCGACCCCTGTGGGACCCCGCTCGTCCACAGGTGCCCCCTGTGATTTCATCATTACGTACCATGACTCGTTGTTGCCTCCCTGTCAGGTATTCTCTGATCCATTGCAGTGCCCTTCCTGTTTTTTAGCACCTGATGCTCTAGCTTCTGCACTAATCTCTTGTGAGGAACTGAGTCAAAGGCCTTCTTGCAGTCCAAGAAGATGTAATCAACCCACCCCTCTCTCTCGTGTCTTACTTCTGTTATTTTATCATAAAACTCCAGAAGGTTGTGACGCAGGATTTGCCTTCCGTGAATCCGTGCTGGTTGGCATTTATACTCTTGTTCCATTCCAGGTGCTCTACCACTCTCCTCCTGATAATCTTCTCCATAATTTTGCATACTATACACGTCAATGACTCAGGTCTATAGTTTAGTGCCTCTTTTTTGTCTCCTTTTTTAAAAATGGGAACTACATTTGCCGTCTTCCATACCTCAGGCAGTTGCCCAGTTTCCAGGGACGTGTTGAAGATTGTGGTAAGTGGCACGCACAACATATCTGCTCCCTCTCTAAGGACCCACGGGGTGATGTTGTCCGGTCCCATTGCCTTTGAGGTATCGATGTCCCTTAGCAGTTTCTTCACCTCCTCCTCATCTGTATGTATGTCGTCCAACACTTGTTGGTGTATTCCTTGCTGGTGTCCCCATCTGGTCTGTCCCCCCAGAGTCCTTCCTGTCTCTACTGTAAATACTTCCTTAAATCTCGTGTTGAGCTCCTCACATACCTCTTGATCGTTTCTTGTGAGTTCTCCACCTTCTTTCCTCAGCCTTATCACCTGGTCCTTGACTGTTGTCTTCCTCCTAATGTGGCTATACAGCAGTTTCGGGTCAGATTTGACTTTCGATGCTATGTCGTTTTCATACTGTCGCTGGGCCTCCCTCCTTATCTGTGCATACTCGTTTCTGGCTCTTCTACTAATCTCCTTGTTTTCCTGGGTCCTAATGCCTCCTGTACATTTTTCATTCTCTGTTGCACTTAGTTTTTGCCTCCCTACACCTTCGGGTAAACCAAGGACTCGTTTTGGTCTTCCTATTATTTCTGTTTCCCTTGGGAACAAAACTTTCCTCTGCCTCCTTGCACTTTTGTTGCCACATATTCCATCATCTCGTTTACTGATTTTCCTACCATTTCTCTGTCCCACTGAACCTCCTGCAGGAAGTTTCTCATACCTGTGTAGTCCCCCCTTTTATAGTTTGGCCTGTCCCCTTCAGTTCCTGTTACCTTCTCCACTTGTAACTCTACTATATAGTCAAAACTCAGAACCACGTGATCGCTAGCTCCAAGGGGCCTCTCGTAAGTGATGTCCTCAATGTCTGAACTGCTCAGGGTGAACACAAGATCCAGTCTTGCTGGCTCATCCTCCCCTCTCTCTCTGGTTGTGTCCCTGACATGTTGATGCATGAGGTTTTCAAGTACCACATCCATCATCTTGGCTCTCCATGTTTCGGGACCCCATGTGGCTCCAGGTTTTCCCAGTCGATCTCCCTGTGGTTGAAATCGCCCATTACCAGTAACTTTGCTCTGCTCGAGTGAGCTCTCTTGCCACCTCAGCCAGTGTGTCCACCATCACCCTGTTGTTTTCTTCGTACTCTTCTCTTGGCCTCCTGCAGTTCTGTGGTGGGTTATACATCACTCCAATGACTACTTTATATTCTCCGGACTGAATTGTACCTACAATGTAGTCTCTTTCTCCAATCATGTCCATGCCTTCCATTTCCTCAAATCCCCATCGGTGTTTTATGAGCAGTGCAAACCCCTCCTCCCTCTCTACTCCTTCTATCTTCCTCAGGATCTGATATCCTGTTGGGAAGACTGTGTCTGTATTGTCTCAGCGAGTTTGTTTCTGTGACTGCTATGATGTCTGGGGATTTTTCACTGATTCTTTCGTTCCACTCCTCATGTTTATTCGTTATTCCATCCGCGTTTGTGTACCAAACCTTCAGTTTCTTTTCTATCATTGTGGTCATGCAAGAAATTGGGGTTGGGGGAGCGAGAGCCTTGGTGGGGGCCTATATGGCGCTGTGGTGTAGGTGGGGTTTGTGTTGATGGGGGTGGGGTCAGAATGCCCATAAGGGACAGCTGTTGGGTGAGGGTTTGTGATATGGGGGTTGGTGGCAGAGGGAACAGTGAGTGGGTTGTAGTATAGGTTGCTCAGTTGCGTTGGGAATGTCGCGGTTGGAGTGTGTATGTGTGTGTGTGTGTGTGTGCTCACCTATTTGTACTCACCTATTTGTGGTTGCAGGGGTCGATTCATAGCTCCTGGCCCCGCCTATTCACTGATCGCTGCTAGGTCCTCTGTCCCTGCTCCATGAGCTTTATCAAACCACGTCTTAAAATTATGTATGGTTCCTGCCTTCACTACGTCGCTTTCTAGGCTATTTCACTGCCTGACAACTCATAGTATGACTGAAGAAATACTTCCTAACATCCCTTTGACTCATGGGAGTCTTCAACTTCGAGTGTGACCCCTTGTTTCTGTGTCCAATCTTTGGAACATCCTGTCTTTGTCCTCCTTGTTAATTCCTCGCAATATTTTATATTCGTTACCATGTCTGGTTGCAGGAGTCGAGTCTCAGCTCCTGGCCCTGCCTCTTAGCTGGTCGCTACCAGGTTTACTCTCTCCTGGCTTCGAAAGCTTTGTCGTACCTCTTCTTAAAGCTATGTGTGGATAGCGAAAAAAGGCATAATACCGTGACTAGAACAATAAGCAAATAACCCGCACATAGACGTTTCGGTCCGACTTGGACTATGTGACTTTTTAAATAGTTCAAGTCGGACCCAAACGTCGTCGTAAGGTCCTCTCTTCTATGTGCGGGTTATTTGTGCTATGTGTGGATCCTGCCTCTACCACTTCATTCTTAAGCAGTTCCACCTCCTGACCACCCTAAGGCTGAATAAATATTTCCTAACATCCCTATGACTAATAGTGAGTTTTCAGCTTCCAACTGTGCCCTCGTGTTCCTGCTTTCCATCTCTCAAACAATCAAACCCTGTTCACCCTGTCAATTCCTCTCAGTATTCTGTACGTTGTAATCATATCTCCTCTTGTCCTTCTGTCCTCCAGCGTCATCAGGCTGAGTTCCATTAACCTCACCGAGACTAGTCTCGCTTCAAACCTCTGCACTTTTTCCAATTTCTTGACGTGCTTGGCTAGGTGTGGGTTTCATCCTGGTGCTGCATACTCAAAACTGGGCCTGACGTACACGGTGTACAGTATGGTAAAAGACCTTATTAGACGCAATAAAGCTAGTCTTAGATTTGCCAGATACGCATTTGCTGCAACAGTTATTTGGTTTATGTGCGCCTGTACTCTCTCTGATGTATTCTTTGCACTCCTAAAATTTCATAACTCTACACCTGCTGGACTAAACTCCAGGATCCATTTGTCACACCAAACCTACAATCTGTCCAGAGTCATGCGTAACCTCACCTGGTCCACGTCTGCTTGTATTCTCCTCATTTGTTTCGAGTCATCTGCGAAGAGGTATACCTCTGACTATATTCCTTGTGTCATGTCATTCAGGTAAACAAGAAATAGCACAGGCCCTAGTACTGATCCCTGTGGAACCCCACGCTTATGCCT